AAAAAACACATCAATGGGCAGGCAGCAGGGGAGCGAAAGCCACAACATATGCGACTGTTCGCATTTTAAATGTGTTTAGGATCTCACACACTAAAAGTAATTAATTCATCTTGGGCCTGGCCCATTGCTTACAGACCAATTTAAAGACAGAGGAACACACAAGAGAATCAGACCAGGTGTTAAGTATAAGGATTCTAGCAACTAGTGACTGAAAAGACATGTGTGATCACAAACTTCTCCTTTTTGTAAGTGCAAGGTACAACTCCCCAGGATAGGATGCGTCTAGGGTCAGGCTAAGAGAGCACAAATCCTGTTTTGGTTATTTGTGTGAAGTTGATGAGATGGCTCATGTGACTAAGGCTAAAAAGATGTGGCCCTTAATTTGAATTAAGGACAAATTGTTTGACTGAACACAGCCCTGCATGTTGCACCCGAGCTGCCTTATCCTCAGTAACAACTTTACTTAAAGGCAGTACTGTAAACTTACATGTAAATACTTGCTGGGGGGACTGTTCTCAAAGCCTTCCATGGGGAGGGACCCACAGACAGATCACCTACATGGAAAGGGTGGGGGTCATCTGTCTCTATGCCATGGCTTCCCCAGCCTACAAACCAGGGAGGGGATGAACCAGGAGGTGGGTATAAAGAGGCCAAAGGACAGAGCCAAGAGAGAAATGCATCATCACATCCTTCTTTATTATGACCTCCATTATCTCTCCTTCTTAAACATGGGATGCAGGAACAGCTCTCATGAAGGACAAGGCTAAAAAGAGCAGCAGTGTGGTCTAAGCCACTGCAGTTACAGAGCCTCCTCACATATAGACCTATACCTCTAGTCTCACAGCTATGCAGTCAGAGTGCCACCTACTGCTTCTTTTGTGGCTGGGAAAACCTAGTCCACCTCTGCCAAGGGGAAATACAAGCATCTTCACAGAGGTTTTCTATCTCTGGGTTTGCCTTTGTGAGCTGTCCCACTGGATGGGGAATCTGGCCCTCGGGATACTAAAATACAGCTCTGTGCTCTGGAAATACTGCATTTAAAGTGTGCCAAGCATAAAACTCTTTTTCTTTAACAGAGCAGTGCTGTTTGGAACCTTGTGGGAAGGCCCCCAGATGGGCACTGCAAGGCTTGGGTGGGGGGAAGTTAGATAAACACTGTTATTGCAGCTAATATTATGAAACATTTTGTTCCCAACCTCTAAAAAGGACAGTGCTGATTTACTGTGCAAAAGATCAATCAGAAACTAAACCCCCTTTCACATTAAGCAACACAGCAAACACCAAAAAGTTTTAAAATGCTGATCACTTTGTGCATTCTACCATTATTTTTCAATTCTTTCATTAGACCCAGAAGTGTTAAGTCATTTAGTTGATGGGTTTTATCTGTTGTGTTTCATTTTGTTTGGGTTCTTTAATTTGTAGCTTTATTTATATATATAAAAAGAAATATAACCAGAAAAGACTCAAGTCACTTATTCAGGGGATTATCCTCAGGTGCTGTAAGCTGCCTGAAGTCAATGGAGAAAGGCTGATTTATACAATGAGCTGTATCATGTAAGAGTCTGGACCCCTGGTTATACTAAGTTAGCAGAACTCTTTTCAGTATCTAAGGCCTGATACCACTTTTGGTAGCAAAATCTCTCCCTGAAATGGATGCTATGACAGGCTCCCTGGGAATGTCCATAAACAGACAAGGTTCTTTGGGTAAACATGATATCTTTTATAAATTTAAATAAATTTAGTTGGTCTAATAAAAGATATCACATTTACCCACAGAACCTTGTCTGCCTATGTCCTTAGACCAACCTGGCTATAACCAACTACCAGGAAAGCCCAGGAAGACCCATCCACTGATGGGGCACTGGGGACCTGACCACATGCAAGCTCAATTGAAGCAGCTGGTGGGCCACACAGCCCAAACCCAACACTGCTCTCCAGCACTCATGGGGACCCACACTGGAATACATAGGTCAGGTGGGGCTGAAATAGGGTGACTCAGTGGGCAAAGAGGGCACCTGATGAGAAAAAAAACCTAGCATGGAGACCCTGTGGCACCACACATCCTGAAACAGCATCCATGGACCCAGAGTGCACCAGGGTGAATTGGTGGTACCACAACCTTCAGGCAGGCATAGCGGGGCATACTTCACAGCATTACCATACCTGGCTGGGTGGCAGGATGGGTAGAACCTGGACAAGAAAGCCAGCCCACCAAGAGGTATCACAAGCCTAATAGGTGGGTGAATGGAAGTTGCACTGAGCACCGAGGCACCCACATGTATGAGGAAAATGCTTGGCATGGGGGCATCACTGCCTTGCTCACTGTATCATCCAAGCTATTTAAGAGTCACCTTGGGACATACGGGGACCACTGATCACCACCTCCAGAGGAAAACCCAGTAAAAACAGCAAGTTGGGTGGGCAAATAGACCCAGGTATGATGTGGCTCAAGAGGCAGCGCATGCCGTTTGGCTGGTACGGAGGTTGTAAGCCTGTCAGAGTTGTACACTGCAACCAAAATATGGCTCAGTTCTTTAAGGTGCTGAAAGCCTCCAGAGAAGTACTGAACACCTTCAACATCTAGGGAAATCAAACAGAGCCAGGAGGCAACCCTCTAGCATCTTGCAGGATCAGGTCTTGCATAGAGAGAGCCTGTGCTGTGACTGAATAAATTAATTCTGAATCACCCTGGAAAATCTGCAGCGTCTTTTCTTGGCAATAACAGGTGTTGTTTAAGTGAAGCCAAGAAAATCCTTGCCATAGGCAGGAAGTACTCAGAAAAGGGTTGAAGCCTCACTTGTGGGGTAAGACGAATGTTGTCGTCCCGTACAAAACCAGAGTTGGAGTTGTATTTGATATATTTGCCCTCTATGTAGTGTTCCAGATGAAAGAGGGGCTTTCCAGGCCTGTTCTTCATTTCAATAATGCAGGTCTGTACAATATCCACCTGGGAAGGGAAAGGAAAGAAGCGCTGATTAAAAGAGCACTTTGCTCAGACCAAGAATAAAGCATGTGAATGGTGCAACTGGGCAAACTTTGCCAATAAAAAGATGCAAGATATTGCCAAGGCCTGTTTATTTAACAAGAGGAGTGGGGAGTCATGTGCTTCTTAAGTTGCTGGCAGAATTACATACAGTAGCAGTCACCAAAAAATTACCCACTGAAATGGTCTATTAAAACAGTAGACAAGCCCTTCTGAAAAATTCTGAGTGCACATCAGTTTCCTATTTGATTTCACTAACTATTTTTACCTGTGTATACAAACATACAAGATGGAACCTGAGTATCTACTGTCCAAGCTATAGGAATGGATTCTCTGTGAAGGACTGATATCACCTTTGCCTTTTACATTCAGGTGTTTTGGGCCCTTAGAGAAATTGCTTTCGGGCCTGGGGAAAATCGACTTGAACTTGGTCTTGCTTGGTTAGCTTCTAGTCTTTTCCATTGACATTTCTCTTCAGCCTCTGAGCATTTGACATGTAAAACATCACCCTCACAACACTGCTCTCTCCTCACAGAAGCAGAATTTAGAAAAACTAAAACCCAGGATTTTCATATTAGGAAACACTTTTGACCTAGCCTAGAGCGAAACCCTAAGCCCTGTCTGGAGGGACAGGGAGAAGGGGCAAGGCCTGAGAATCTTGAGACCAGCCAAGGCTGGCTCAGACTCACTTTGCCTCCTGCACCTTTTTGAAGTAAGTAGGGTCTGGAGGGCTGGGGCCTGGAGGTCAGGAATGAGAGGACCAGCAATTTCCTAGTCCCTGTATGGTCTGAGCCTGATTTTGTGGGTTTTGGGGCCTGCTGATTGGCCCTGCAGGGAAGAGAAGCCTGGTGACAGACAGGGCAAGCAGGATAGAGGATGGGAGGAAAAGGAAGAGAAGTAGGAGAGGGATGCAGCAAGGGCCACTAACGGGGCCAGGCAGGGTTTGTCCCAGCTGCCTTTTAGCACCTGCCAAGCAGGGACCACTGCTGTCTGCCCACTACCTCCATGTGAGACCCTGGCCTGCCACAGTCCCCACCCTGCTACGCCTGCCCCACTGGTCCTAGGCACTCACCACCCAGATGGTTCCAGCAGGTGTCTAGAAGACCCATCCAAACTCATTTGACTTGATTTTGTCTGCTCTCTGGGAGTGCATTTGCACAGTCACACACTCAACCTATATTACTGAACACAAAACTACTTTATTTCACCCCCCCCCAAAACACAATTAATAAAAGTTCACAGTGGAAGGTACAGCTTTTTCTGATCAATTAACTGAAGAGCTAAACCCTCTCTGAACTGCTTTGAAAGCCTACCCTCTGAATGCAGAAAGGTCGTGTTTGCTTATTGATTCTGTGTGTGCTTTAACATACCTGTTTCGGTGGTTTGTGCCGGTTATACTCCTCTCCCCAGAGTTTTGCTTCCATTTGAAGTCGGACATCCTCAAAGTATACGTCCCTGTCAACGGTCTCTATGTATCGCTTGGCAACATAGTTGAAGGCACCTTTCCAGTTCTGAGTGTGCAAAAAATTGGACAGCTTTTTCCTGCAAGACAAACCAAATGTGGGCGAAAGGGAAACTGAGATCTTCAATTCAATATTCCCCATTCCTTGCCTCCAAACACACCAAAAGCTGAAGGCTCCACAAATGAACAGCAGCGTAGATCTGCATCTGAACCTGTGAGAGTTCCCAAATACTTCAGCTCAAGGAATACAGAACTGCCCAGCTTTTAGCCCATATAAAGAGTTTGGAGAAAGCAGAATTTTGCCTGAATCTCTGTGACAGGCTGAAAGACATTTCCCACCCACAAGATGCCAAAGCAGCCTTGTGGCTTGGCTACCATAGCATGTTATTGCTTTGTACTCTTCCATTTCCTTTTTTATCTCAAACAGAGAGCATGAGATCATAGTGTTTGCCTTAAGCAAACCAATCAAAAGCCAAAGTCAATCATCTTGGCTTGCAGAAAATTAAAGGGCATGGCAGGTAATTTTAAAACTATGAGAGGAAACAGCCCTCTCCTCTGATAAGGGCAGCCTGCTGCTTTTATAACACAAGAGCTACTACTCTCAAACCCTAACATCCCAGGAACCAGTACTGCAGACAAGAGTTCTTTCTTTTCTGATGGAGAAGTCCCTAAGCCACAAATGCCTCAAAAGTGAAGACACAGTCTGAGTATAGGACTGCTAGATGCTAACAGATGGATTAATACATGTGCATAGGAAACTATAGAGGATGCCTAAATTCAAGTCAGATAGAGAAAATAAATGGCTTTTAAGAGCTTCTAAGCAGTCATGGCCAGCTTTCAACTTGGACCTTGCTCCCTTCCTAATGCATGCTGTGCCTATTTATGTGGGACAACAGGGAAAGAAAAAGGCCTGCAGGGTCTTTCTGTCTGCATTTAACAAAGGCAGTTACAGAAACTACAGACAGGCTAGCTTGGAAGCAATGATCTGGCAAGCAAGTCTAGCCAGGCTGGGAGTGCATCAGTGGCTATCTGGAGGAAATGGTAAGCAAGGGAAAGGCATGTCTGGAGTCACATGGAGCTTGTTACCATCATTTCTCAAACTATGCTAAATGACAAACCATAGTACCCAAGGCCTTTCCTGGTGATCCACAGAACTAAACGCACTGAGAAGCAGGAAGTGCCAGTTAAGCTCCACTCCCCGGTTTGGAGAAAAGCACCAGACAGCTACTGATGCTGCTAAAGGAGAAAAGCTGGCAGGCTCTAAATGCAGTTCAGCATACTCCTGCTACAACAGACAGACACAGACAACTATGCATGAAGAGGTAAGTGGGCAAAAACAAGAATGCTAAGGAAGTTTCAAAGATTTCAGAGCTCCTGAGAAATAAACCCATCCTCAGAAGAAAAGTCAGCTCTCGTGCCCTCCAGCTCCCGTCTCTGCTGTTTGTAAAGCACCAGGCAGCTAGTGAAGTCATTGGACTTGGAAAAGAGTTATGTGGAGAACAGATGCATGTACAAGCACAGGGCCTTCAGGAGAGGGTCCCTTGACTTGCAAGGACACAGGAGAAGATGTTCCTGTGTGAGAAATATCTTTGCATTGCTGCCAGTGACCCTTTGTCACATCCAGGGGAAGGGACACTGAACAAACACAAATTAAACTTCTTCAAGAACAGAAGCCAAAGGAAATGACGGGCCACTGTGATGCCATTTGCATTTACAGAGCCTGGAGTCACTAACTCAAAAGAGCAATTTGGTCATTTAGGAACCAGAGCTGAAAGCAAGATGTTGACAAACTGAAATCTGTTGCTTCCTATTTGTAACTGCATGTAATTTTGCAAGAATGAAAACCATTTGGTCCGTTTCCAATCCATGTTGCGGGGCAAAAGGCTATTTTGTCCCTTTGTCCTGAATAGCCAAAACACTGAACTTCTAGCTACAGCAGCTGCTCTCCCTCCCACAAGTGAAACCAAACATTAAATCCAAATTATTTGTATTACAATGTTGGAAAAGCAGAGGAGCTTGTCTAAAACTTGCATATGTTCATCCTCCAGGAGACATTCATATGTGGAGGCTTGAAAGAAAAGTGATTCTTCTGGTTCACCAAAGGTGCTGGTGTCCACAGCAGTATTCTCAAGCTTTCCTGAGCAAAGGAAAATCCTCTTCATTCACCAGTTTACCCTGCTGGAAAGAACCTTCCCACTCCACCCAGAATCACAATGATTAATCTAAAATCTATCTGATCCAAATTTCACTTTCTGGTCGGAATAAGGCATTTCTGTGACTGTACTGAATCCAGCTATTCCTTTCCCTCAAGTCAGTATAACCCTGAGCCTGTGTTTGGACTTAAAGACACTGCCTACATCAAATGTTCCAGTCAATTGGGAACCCGCTGAGAATGAGACATGATGAACCTGCTTCTGCATCTGAGTGAGTAGCTGGGCTACAGCAGATTGTGGAAGTGGTATATTCCAGTCCTCATTTTTACAGATCTAACTGCTGATTATGTTTGCACTAGAGCTGATGCAAAGATACCTGTCCCATGGAAGCACCAAGGAATATTGTACTTCAACCTCCCAATGCATTTCCATGCTTTCCTGGAGCACAGTCACTGAATTATCCCCAGTAAATGCAGCAGGCAGCTCCTTCAGTGGTCTGTTCCCTACTCTGGATCTCAAAAGATATAGGGAGAAGAAAGAACAGCTACAACTGTGCCTGGCACTTGCAAGACATCATAGCTGAAAAGCCTTCTGCTGATCCTAGAGCTGGGATGTAGTTCTCCATCCAGCTATAGTAGCCATGCTCTCACCTAGTAGGGAATTTTACTCTCTCTGCAAGCTCCCTGGCCATGTCAAAGCGATGCTCACAATGGCAAGAAATACTCCCAGGAATCCCAAAGGAAAAAGCCAGCAGACACTTACGTTCTGAAACACTCTCGCATTGCTCCACGACCAAAGGGCTAAGGGGAAAAAAAACCAGAGTCACTTGCATGGAGTTAATCTCTAACAATAATTTAAATTTCCACATTGCCCCTTTACATTGTGAGAGATGCCTAAGCACTTCCCAGACAACCTGAAGAAAACGCCACTGGAGAGGAAGGTCTAGGGATCAGGACCAAAAGCAGGGAAGCGGAATTTGGATAAAGGCATCTAGAGTAAACCTCCTTCTAAAGCAGAACCAGCTGGCTGTTGCTTTAAGACATCAATCAAATACCTGTCCAGCTTAAAGTGAGCTCACAAGCCACTGCCCCAAACAGGTGACTTCACAATCCCCAAGCCCTAACTGAGCCCTACATGTCAGATGTGACATTAAGACTTGCATCTTGCCAAAGTCCAGGTACTTCTGCAGAAGCACAGAGCAAAAAACATCCAAAGCTTCTCAACTCACACCATGATTTAAGCGGATGGTGGGGGCCCCAAACTTATTCTGCAAAAAATCCAAGCAGTATTTTATCCTAAGAGCAGAAAATACTTGGAAGCATAACGGAGATAAAAGCAGACTGGCTGCCAGGTGGGAGCTGTAATTAAAGTCCTGGCTCCATCTACATTTCCCTGGCCAACAGGAACTAGGAATGTTGCTGAGGCAGCAGACCCAGCTCCTAGAAGGGAGTGAAAGCTTCAGAGTCTCCGTCTCTGGCTGACCCATGCATAGTTACTACTGGGCTGGGGAAGGACTGCCCTGCCTTCTTCTCTATCCCAGTGGAATGAAGGCTGCTGTTAACTGAACGTAACAGGAAAGCAAAGGGATAAAATAAAAAATGAGAAGTTTGGAAATTCCTGTGTGAAACAGAGCCAGCTTTCCTTCTTCTGCATTAGGGAGGAAGTAAAATATGGTTGCTTATAACAATAACAGAAGAAAGAGACGGGCGCGTTCTTACTTGTGCAGCCATTTTGATTAGAACTTCATCTTTGACCCAGTCTCCGGTAACCACGTTGTATCTGCAAAGATCAGAATTAGGGCTTCTGATTAAAATGCACAAAGAACCAAAGAAGGCTTGTGTACTCATCATGCCTAACCCTGACTGGGGAAGTGCTGTTTATCCTCAAGAACTTTCAACCCCACATATTCACCCTGGGCTTGTCTGTCAATCAGGGAGCAGCCTCTTCAGAGGACCATGTGGCTTAGCTCACTTGAAGCCTTTGAGCTAGTTCTAGTATCCTAGACCTCAGGTCGACATCTCAGCACAAACTAAAGCCCCGTCTACACTATTGGTTGGTTCTGATTTGCTCTGGCATTAGAACTCCTTCATGCTGCTCTGGCAGTTGTAAGAGGGGGTGGAAATGGCTCATGGAGCTTGTCTGCTACACAGGGGCTCTTTTTTGCTGGCACTAGGTTAGAATAAGGACTCTAAGCTGCTCCCAGGTCTTGGTATGGGGGATGTTTGCAGGCACATCAGGGACAAGAACAGAAATGGACCGTGGGAAGCATATCATAAATCAGACACCCCAAAGCTGCTCAGAATTGCACCAGGATATAAGCAAGTCTCAGCACATCCAGAGAATACAAAAAACACAGGTAGCTTTGCCCCACCCTGTATCCTCCAATTTCCAAGTGCCTGAACAAGATAACTGAGAACTATTGGATCAGCAGTGTGCCACTGCCTAAAGCGTGGACTCAGACACTGTTTTATGAAAACCATGCTAGACATTCCCTGGTAGAAATGTCTCCTTTCAATGGTCTGCACTGTACAGTCTTACAGCACTGTTTGCAAATGTCAGGGGGATATTTCTTTCTTTTCTTATCTGATTATCCCGATAACCTGGAAGCTGCACTTCCATAATTAAAAATATACAAGTAGTCAGTTTAAGTCAGTTCCTCATATCTGAAGGCACACAAACGTGTCACAGCTGTGTGGTATATACCCCTTGCAAACCATGTGCCTGAAAGATTGTCTGGCGGTCAGAGGTCAGGCTGGTTTCGGCACATAGGCTACTCTGTGGTGTTCTGGTCCTTTTAAGGGTTTACATTCCAGCCTCATGCAGCAGAGCTGCATGTACATGCAAGAAAGAAACTACTATTTTAGGAAAGGAACAGAGTGTTACGAGCAGGCAGATCTGTTTACAGCTTTCAAAAAAATCAATTGTATCACTTTCTGTATTGAAATCATTCCGCAGACTTACAAAGAAAATCATCCAAAACCCCTTCACATTTATTTCCTATCCATTTCTCATGAAGCCTTAACAAGCAGCTAATGTGGGGGAGATTAGAATGTGTCACAATTTTTTGACTGAGCTCAGTCTTTATAAAATCCTAGGTAGTTTCAGTTTAGACATGCTCTTGCCTTGGATACTGTAGATACTTCTCTATCTATCCAGAGTTTGGAGGAAAAATTAATGCAACCATCTGAAAAATAGCCATGTAAGATACTTCAATCTAATGTCAGTATTAGAAGCAGAAACAGACCTGTAACGAGTGGCATATTCTGTTTCAATGTCCTCAAGATGAAATTCTGCCCAAGGATCAGGCATGTGCTTAGCTTTCTCAATGGCATGTTTCCAGGTTTCCTATAGAAGTTGAAAACTAGCAAGTTATTTATATCAAACAACAACCCACAGTCAAATTTTCTAGTGCATGTATTCCCCCAGTGCTGAAAAGGAATCTGCACAGGCCCTGCGGCCCACAAGGAATCAGTAAGGCACAATGCTGGGACCAGGCAGTACAGATTTCTCCGCAGAATGAGGCCACATTAGAGACCACCCCCCTCTTCTACCACTATTTGGTTGTGGTCAGGCACAAACCACCACGTCACAAGTTACAGTTTCAAATCCAATCATACTAAGGTTAGAAACTTAAAAAATCAGATTCTTATTTCATTTGCACCATTCTGAAGTTCCTGTTCTGAGATCAGAATGGTACAAGGTGAGTGTAACACACACAATGTGACATAACTTTATCATTGCAGCGTCTATTACAGTGCTCTGCAATCACAGCTAGTTGCCATTGTTAAGATCAGCAGAGAAATTTACTAAAGCGAATTATATGTTAACTAAGCTAGCATGTGCTGGCAGCGCAAGTAAAGAACAATCATGCTTTATACCATAAAAATCCAGAATCAGAAAGTCTTCTGATAACCAAGGCCCCAAACCACAAGATGAAAAAGCAGAATAAATTAGTATGTAATGAAAATGGATGATTATTACAGTTCCAGACAAGTAGCTATTTCAGTCTCCATCAAGCCACAGTAACTCTACAAATCCTTATGTTGAAAATTTGAGAGTTTTCTCCACAGATCACTCTAGATACTTTTCTCTTGACACTTTTCCTGTCTCCCTCTTTCATACTGGCCCTGAGATGCAGTCTTGCAAAACGCCAAACTCCTTCTGCAAGGCAGCATGTGAATGAGAGGAAAGACCATAGCAGTTCCCAGACTCCACATCAGGCTCCTCTCTGAATGGGAGGCAGGAAATAATGATTTCTGGGACACTAGTTATTATTTCTGTAACTAAATTTGAACCATTAAGAAATACTTTTAATTTCCAAATAAACTTGAGAAGTAATCTCAAGTAAAGCTAAAGCCCAGTAAAAATCTGTATCAGTGTTGAAATGCGTTACAGATAATCCTTGCTTTATAGCATGCAACAGAAGAACTTCTTTATGAAAGAACGTAAGTTTTTAAACAGGCAACAAGTTTGTTCTATTCCAATCTAAAAACAATCAAAATACCCATCTAGTCTCATGATAAAACCTAAATATCCCTCACTTTCAAGGAAGTTCCTGTCATACCACATGACAATTAGAGCTGCCTTACAACACAGCTCCCGAGTCAGTGAGAGCTGACTTGCCTAGGGCTGAAGGCAGGTGTGGGGAAAGAAAGGAGCGAGACAAAAAAAACATGAACGATCCCTTAAAACGCCACTGAAGTACCATTTCTAAGAATTATTGTGTCATGGGGTGCAAGAGAGAGAGACACAGAGAGAGGCTAGGGGAGCTTGGGAGCTGATATTCTTCCTCGGTCTGTATCCTGGAAGGTGCCACATGTCCTCAATAAGTATTAATGAGAGTTTAGGGCACAGAATTGAGCCCTAAACTTGTTCTGAAAACTAGAATACAACAGAGAATGATTATTTGTAGCACCCATTATATAAACTTCCCACTGCTTTTCCCTAGATCATGCATGGGGGACAAACCGGAAAATAAACAGCATAAAAATGCTCTTGTATACATTTGCTTCTATTAACAGTAGGAAACAATGTGAAGAAACAATATAAAGAAAGTGACTATTTAGGAACAAAAGATAAATTCCAGAGAACAAAAATAGTTATGAGCAATGTTCTGCTTTGATGATTTCTATGGACTGACTTGTATCCACTTTTTCAGGGGATAAAATAATGAATTAAAAATACCATTAAAAAAAAAGTCTTAAGGCATCTACAATGCAAGTTGATCACATCTCATTTTAACCTACCCGACTATGGTCAACCATAGAGCCATGCTTAGAACGTTGCTGTGTGTCACTCTAAAGAATACATGAGAAACATTAGCATTGCAAAATTAACAAGGCAAATTAAGTGCTCTCTTCTTGTTTACTAACTGAACAAATTAGCTTTTCCTTATTTCAAAGCTGATTTTCAAAATGCATATTCCCAAAGCAAATGTATCCACGGAACATATGAACACAAGTCTATTCAAGTGAACTGGCAACCTCTTTACTGACAGATAGGAGTTAAAAATCTCTCACTTAATAACATATTAAATAAGTTAGAAGCTTATTACATTTCTCATGCCGCTGACCAAAAAGGTCCACCACCAAGTGGAGTTTATGTTAAATTCTGCCTTGTTAAAGCATCAGTTTTTCCATTTCACTATCACTGTGCTAAATGGACCCCTAAGGTTTTACCTAACTAGAAGGTGTGTCAGCTGACACATGCTAGCTAATGCTTTCTAAAAGTCTCCTGTAGACAAGGCAAAACTTAACTGAATGTGTTGTAACTGTCTTTAAACTTTAGCCCATATTAAAGTCTTTGCTGCCTTATCTATATTGGATTTTTAGGTCTTGTCTTCACTGGAGAAAGCCACATTTTGATCAAGTGTTAGTTAACTAGCACATGTAAGACTCTAGCCTAAACAGAACAGTTATTTTAGTTCTAGTTCCAGTTCCTGACAGCTCGTGCAGCCCCAGGCTGCCGTGCACAGACTGCATCTGGTACCCATACAAGCTTGGATATCTCTGTGTAACACCACAACCTGCAGCACAGACAGATCCAAGGTATCATAAGATGTTAGTTAATGCTTGTTAATCAAACACCTTTAAAACCTAATCTAGATGAAGACTAAGACATATTACAAGTTTGCAGAGTCCTCATTTAAATGGAGTACATTAGGAGTGTGTCAAACTGTAACTACAGGCTGCTTGTAGTCCTCATGCTCCAAATGCGGCAATTCAAGGGCTGCCTTGCAGACCACACCTCCTAGGGACACCCCCAGTAGAAATCTTGCCAATGGGTCTCTTCCCTTTGCATGGGATGGTGCAAGCGAAAGGAGCAGAAGGGAGTGCAGGATCCAGCCACTGCCTGCAGGCCCCCGACTCTTCCACAACGTTATGTCAGGCCTTCAAGCTGAAAAGGTCAAGTGTCACTAGAATACACTGCCTGGAGCTCATGGTGGAGGTCACTGACATTTAACACCTGAGTGCTAGTGCCGAATTTTAGAGGACTCACCATAAAATACAATTAAATCCAAATCAGCTTCTTCCACAAATTAAGAATGGTTTCATGGCACAATGATTTGCCTCGCCCCAGTCACGGTGTTTTCAGGCTCAATGCTTTGAACCCTTTATAAAGGACTGTGTTACAACCAAAACCAGCTTTCAAACTCCAAATCCATTTTTTTTTCTGTTTTAAAGTAGCCAGCCCACAGCAGCTGTGCCATCTGAGACTCGATCTAGCCATTGTGGCGCATAAGGAGCTCCCACAGGACTAGAGAGGAAGCAAATCAAGAACACAATCAAGTTATTGGCTTAATGGATTTAACTTCAGGTCTGAAAAAACAGCAATGATTTTCATGGAAAACTGTTAGTTACAAGAAACGAAAAAGCTAGCAAGCTGTAGCCCTTGCTTCCTATGCCAGCTAAATGAGATCAGAAGCCTGTTTCAGCTTGAACCTAATGCTTACCTTAAAATGGAATGAATTTCTAGGAGAAGAGCTGCAGCTGTACTGTTCATTTTTTGCTAAGTTGCTGTAGTAGTTGTCAACTTTGTTGTTGATAGCTTTGTTAGATATTGGGTCATCTGTTATAGGGCAGATGTAATAACTATCTTCATCCTCACTATCACCATCAGTATAACTTCCAGAGACAGCTTTAGTCAGTCTGCTATTATCAATACCTTCCATACGAAAGATAAGGTCCTCGTCTGCCATGTTTGCAGGAGATCAGTTTAATTCGTTCAATGATTAAAGTAGCCAGTATTATAATATACATGAAAAAGGAAGAAAGAACCTGGGGGGAAAAAATTAAGCAATTAATAATCCTATTGATAAAGAAAACAAACTTGAAAGCAACATTTACAGTGACCAGTATTAGTAGAAATCTATTACCTGCGCACAAGCATGTAAAATGGGTATTTGGGGCAGACAAGTGTGCACCTGAACACCCACATAGAAGTTTGAGTTTCCAATATAGACATCCACACTTAGTACTTCCATGAAACAGAAAATAATTAGCCCAGAATAGACTAAGATTATAAAATTCTCTGAACCATGAACACTGGACGCTTTTAGCTGATCACTGTTGGCTGCCTGTTTCCATTTAGCAACTTCCTCCTTAATATTTCTGCTTTTTCTTGTTCAAAAACTGGTCCTGAACATTACATAAGTGCCATACTGGGTCAGACCAATGGTCCCCCTAGCCCAGTATCTTGTCTCCGACAGTGGCACATAATATATGCTTCAGAAGGAGCGTATAAGTACCAGGCATGCCTAGATTAATCCATTCTCAGTAATACTCTTCCTGACAACAACCATCATCTGTTTAAGGATGTCAGAGGATACTTTTCTGACTGTTCTATTTAATAGCTTCGCCTCTTCCTCAAACAAAACCCAGACTTCATAAGACAGTAACTGTGAGTTTTGTCCACTCTGGCTGCAGGATCAGACCACCTGTTTTTTTAACAGCAACTTTCTATCAAGGGACCATGTATAACACAGAAAATTAACAGACCCAAGGGAAAAAAATCTGGAATATTATTGTGGGAAGACAAAAAATCAGAAAAACGCACCCCGTACAAAGAAGGCTTCATAGTTTTCAGGTATCAGACCACACTGACTTGTCACTAATGCCAGCTGATGCAGAGTCAAGTAGGGAGGGAATACATACTAGGGGTGCACCGATAGAGAATTTTTAGGCCGATATCGATGGCTGATTTTTAACGAGCCATACCAGTCGATACTGAACCAATTGCCCATATGTGGCCTGGCAGCATGGAGAACAGCATCCCACTAGTAAGTCTGTTGGGGGGAGGGCGAGACGGTAGGGGGAGCAGATCGAAGCCCCCGCAGTAAAGGAGACAGTGGGGCAGAGGCTGCTGTACCGATGTATCGGTGCACCTCGAATACATATGACACACCTCAACCTCTTTGCTTGGGTTTAGAATCACATCCTATCTCTCTTTCCAGCAGGGAAGCTTTTGCTATGGGTCTCTTAACTGAACTTTCCAGGGGAAGCAGCTAGGCTCTCTCAGTAGAAGGCCTTTCCCATTGACTGATTCACCAGACTAGGGTCTCTGTTTGGCAGCCTTCAGGGCACAAAAAAAATGCACATTTATGTACATATTTTCTCTCTCTTTTGTTCATTCAGGGCTCATAATGATATGCCTCATCCAAATCCACTGAAATCAATGGAAACATTCCCAATGACTTTGATGGGCAGGCTTGTGGCTCAAGATGACACTTTTTAGCAAAGCCAGGTCCTGTGTTGAAAGTAAAACACTTGCACTCACTTTTCCCAATCTTTTCACCCAAAAAGTTTTCTATGAATTCCACCAGACTAAGATAAATCCCTATTTTTCTGCCCAGAGTTCAGCTAATGGCAGGCATGACAGTCTCTCTCTCTGACCTGCTGTCAATAGCTTGTGCACTTTATCAAAAGGCCCTTCAACCTTAAATAGTAAATCATGCTAATTTTATCACCTCCTTGGTCTGGTCTCTGCCACTTACTTCATCTGTTCACTATGGAACAAAACAGAAGCATGTCCTCATTTTCTAATTCCCAAACCCTTGCTCCTGGCTTTGTAGTAAACAGTGCTAGGACAAAATTGTCAAGTAAAACACATATTTAATTAAATCAGGACTGGGATACAATTATGAAGCTCTTTCATAGGTAAAAATAAACCCCAAGACAACTCAATACTGTCCCAAAGTCATTTTTCTTTCCCTTAGAAAAGAACCTAGTTCCACAACGCTTCCTCATAACTAACATCAATAACTGCCTATAGACATGCTCATTCACGTTCTAATTAGGATGCTCCAGAATCACCTCCTCGTCATAAATATTAACCCTTCCTGTGCTTCAAAATGGTCGTGTGGGTGCTTCAATTAAACCTCGCTGAATGAGCTTAAGTTAAAGCGCCTCTGAGGCCATTTTGAAATGCAGGGTGGCTTAATACACATGATGGCGAGTCATTTTATTTAGAGCAGCTGTCCAGAAACTGCTCTTACTAAAACGTCCCCACCTCCGACCACGTGTATAGGTAATGATGCTAACAATCTGCAACCAAGAAACTGCATGGGATACCTATCAAGATCCCACAGACTCCCTCTATTTTACATAAAACGGCCTGAAGACTGCCCTTGTCTCCTCAGAAGAGATGTAGTTTCATTGGCAACACAGGTCTCAGCATATAACATGCCACCTTATTCCAAACAGGATCTACTCAGATCCCAGTGGAGCATCCCATACTAGCATGTACAGTATAGTATACAAAGACTGAACCTTGAGCTTGACAGTAAGCTGGTGATGCTAAACTCTGCCTGCTGCACTTGTTTTGTGGGCTGCGTTTTGGCCATGTCTTATCACCTTAACTATTCATACAACCCATACCCCTAACTATTCATACAAGTTTACTTCCTCTGCATTGTCTGTGCTACTACAACTCTGTCTTCTCTGACACAGAGGAAAATAGCTTGAGCCTAATTTAGCCTTACTCTTTATGACTGTCCAAGCAGGAAAACTCTGGTGTTTTAGTTTTGGTCTCCGCTGCAGAACTGTAATGCAGAGCCACCATCAGAGTAGCACACAGCGATCCATCCCCACTCCACATGACTATGGCTCTGGGGTAGATTATCTCGCTTTTGTGCTCTTAATTCCTCCTGCTTTTTATACAACCAGAGGCATTTCTCACAAACAGCATTTTTTTCTTTGGACAAAGTAAATCATACACAAGTTGTTGATGTTCTGAACCAAACAGGGAGACTCTTAAATTATGTTTATCTGAAATTTCACAAAAAGTAATTTTTCCTGGATGGGGGAAAAAACCTGACCCAGCAGTGCTATATAACACTTTATCTTTACAGAGCTGCTCTCAAGCTGTGAAAGAACAAAACTGTAATTGTCTCTCTGATGCATATAGCAAAACCCTTAAGGAGGAAAGACTCCCTTAAATTAATTTAAAGGCCAAATAGTGACATGTAGCCACTATCCTCTATAACAGGCAGGCTGGAGCCAAAGTGGCCCAGGAAGATCCCTCCAAACTACAGCATTCTGAAGGATTTGTCTACAGTTTTACCAGTTAAACCAAGAAGAAGATCCTGCTACATTTTCATTCATATTAAAGGTACAAAGTAGTGGACAGTAATCAAACATATGGGGAAAAAAATCCCAAAATCTCAATGCCTTTTTGATGTTTAACCAAAGTGGCCTTTGATTCTATTTATCACTTTGATAAGGTCATTCTCCTTATTTAGCCTATGTCCCAACATCCCTGTAGTTCCCCCATACAACATCCGGACACTCCAAAATGAACCCTAGTCAGTTATTAACCAGATGAATTCAGCAAATTGGGCTTTTCAAGCAGTGGGACAGAAAGCAGCACAAGGTGCACAGAGTTCCAGATTCATAACATCCCTGTGGGTACAGCACAATCCCTCATAGCTGGTGTTGGGAATCACCCACCCATAAATCTTCTTGATCCACTGAAACATCTGCTTTACAAAGGCCAGTCACTGGCTAAAATTACAACTGGTTTCTTTCCGTTGCATGTTGCATGCTATACCGTCTGTCACTCAGCAAAAAATAACCCACGAGCAGTTTATGGCTCATTTAGTACAAGCCACTAAAACGAAATAAAAGGCTATATTTCTTCAGCTGCATCATGCATTATTTAAACTGTGCTGAGTGTTGATTAATGCTGAGAAAATAATGTTGAGAAAATAGGTATAGTACTGTAGGATCCTTATTCACTACAAACAGAACTGTGTCAAAAACAAATGTTCAGCAAGGAGATACGGCAATCTCCTATGTTTATATTAGTACTAGTTAAATCTCCTCCAGAAGGTGAGGATGGGGGCAAATGCTTCTTGTGGGCCTGTAATACATGCTATCGGGGCAAGCAGCAGAGAGCAGCTGTGTGTGGGCTTTTGTCCTACTATAATCCCTTTTTTCTAATGGTGCCAGTTTTAGAGGAATTATGTGATGGTTATTAATGGGCTGAAGCCCTCAGAGCCAATTCACACAGCAAACTGCTCTATTATGTAAGAACATAGTTTAGCTGCAAAATATTTTTTGCCACGGCTCGGGTTCCACCCACAGAGAGCTTCAAATGGGTGGAGATTCCCCTGCACATGCCATCAAGAGAATATTAATGACGACTCAGCAGAGCTTACATAGAAATATTATTTCCCAAGCAAATTCACTTCCAAGATGTAATGTCTCACTCTGACAAGCAGAAGCTCTGCACAGATGGGGAGGGCTTCCACCCCTGTGGCGATACCCTGATGATCTTTCATGTTCTCCGATGTATACTTACTCTCAAAATCCTATATTAAAGGACTTCCAATAAAGTCCACTGACCTCAGTGTGCCTAAGAGTCAGTCACATCCCATTTTAGCAGTGGGACATGATCAGCCTCTCTACCTGTGCCTCTGCAATGAGGGAATGAGACATGGGATGCCACCAAGAGTGCAAAGGTAGGAGTGTTTCTAATGGCAGGGGGGCAGATGTGTGTGCAGGGCAGATGTGGGCTGCCCACTGTGGGCTGGGGCTCTGTGCCCTGTTGCCGTTGCCCTGGGGACCGCACACACTTAAAAAATAGCATCTCATGATTTACATTCCAAATCTCTTGATGTTTAAGAGTCTGTCTCATGATTTTTTGACACAGTGGGGTTGGTTGGCAATACTGTCCTAGTGTTACCAGCTGCAACTCATCTGAAGTAATGAGACTGCATCTGTGGAGGGGGGGGGAAAGGAACCTGGCCTATCATCTACAGTATTTGTTGCCAAGCAAC